CCGCAGGGGGGGGGGGGGCGCCAGAAGGGATCCTCGCCTAGGGTGCAAAATAAGCTGGGGCCGGACCTGTGCATACCACAATCTATATGCATTTTGAAAATACAGGCACAAAACATTACAACTCAGAGCAAATCAAATACAAAAACGCAATTGTCCATGATGCCCGCAAATACAATACTTACAGGCTGGGCAAAGAGCTTAGTTTGTTTTTGTAAAACTAACATTCTGTACATTGTGTAATAAACAGTCGTACTTTATTTTTTTATTGGCTCAACCTTTTGTTTTCTGACAAACATCAGCTGGTAAATAACATCCCATTAATCGTCTGTGAAACGGACAAGGCATTTCCCCCCCTCCAGATTGCTGACAACACTGGCTTCAGCGCTTCAGTCATACCTAGAAACAATTTATTTCTTCCTCGTTTTGTTTTGTAGATTAATATCCCACCCAATGAAGAGTGAACTCCAGTAATTTATGATTTAAGACATAATTAGTAAAAAGGCAAGCACGCACTCCTCTCGCAGACCTTACTCCGTGCCTGCAGTAGTTACCGCTAACTTCATCCTCTCCCCCTTGCTTTCCCCCACTTCGTCCAGCGTTCTCGAATCGCTCTGCAGCAACTATTCCTCCGCCCCGTCCAATTGGCTACTCGCAGGACTGCCATGACGTCATGAGTCGCCAAGTCGCTTCGGCAGCATTCGGTCCCAGCCGCCAGCCGCCAATCCCCTTGCTCGGTGAGAGATACCCAATAGGGTTTTGCTTACCAGCTACGTGCGTTCTTATTGGTCGGGAGGCGAGGCGGACGCCTGGTTCCTCTCAGAGACCCTGGTTACGCGGGGGTAACGAAGAAGGCTGTCAAGATGTCGGTGGAGTCGGGGGTCCGCGGGCATCCCCGGCCGGCGTCTGTTTTCCCCACCGCCGTGGCTGTGTGGCTTCTGCTGGGGAGCAGCCCTGGCCCTGGATCCGCTTCCTGCCACCACCGCGTGCCCAGCGCCGAGGAGGTGAGTGAGGATTCCCGGGGTGAAACCGGGTGAGCCGGTGACGAGGGGAGAAGGAAATGGGTAGAGCCTTAAGGAGCGCCGGGGTGGTTAAGGCGCCCGTCGTGTTTTCCTTCTGGCAATACCCTGCTAGTCGTCCTTATTTGCTCACTAAAATCCATCATATATACAGTGTTCCCTCTAAGCTGAGTTTGTGTGAGCTAGCTCACAGTTTTTTAGCCTCCGGCTCACAGATTTTTGCCTTAGCTCAGGAAGGAGGGCCTCAAAGCAAACTAATCTATGCAGCAACCTAATGGCTCGCTCACAACTTTAATGCCCATAGCTCACAAAGTAGGATTTTTGCTCACAAGACTCCACAGCTTAGAGGGAACATATATAGATCTCCTGCCAACCCAGCAGTTCGAAAGCAAGAAATTGCAAGTAGATAAATAGGGGCCACTTCGGTGGGAAGGGAACAGCGTTCCCTGCGCCTTGGGGTTTAGTCATGCCGGCCACATGACCACGGAAACGTCTTTGGACAGCGCTGGCTCTTCGGCTTGGAAACAGAGATGAGCACCGCAACCCTAGAGTCGGATTCGATTGGCTTTCGAGCAAGGGAACCTTTACCTTTATTTTTATATATGTATATGTATGTATGTATGTATATGTGTATATCTATATGTATATATTTACATATATCAAGGAACTTAATGGAATAATATACATGAGCAGTATTTCTGGACAAGTAGACTGGGGTCTGTGTTCGTTTTCTCTAAACCCCTTTGTAAAGTTGAGGGTCCCTCTGGAATGACTGCGTTTATGGCGATCATTCCATTTCGTCCTGTTCTGCTCACCGTTAGGAAACTCAGAGGGGACTGAGAAACTGAAAGTGGGGTTTTCAGGTTAAAATTATACTCGTGGAGCTCATTCTGCCAATAGAAATGTGGATGCCAGAGTACTCTTTGTGTGTGTTTTAGTGTAGGTTACTTACAATGTGGAGCTGCGGTGGCTCAAGTGGTTAAGACGCTGGACTGCAGGCTGTGGAAGGTCGGTAGTTCAGCAGTTCGAGACCCGGGTTGCCGCATGACGGAGTGAGCTCCCGTCTCTAGTTCCAGCTCCTGCCAACCTAGCAGCTCGAAAGCAAGACATTGCAAGTAGATAAAAAGGTACCACTTCAGTTGGAAGGTAACAGTGTTCCGTGCGCCTTGGTGTTTAGTCATGCCAGCCACATGGCCACAGAAACGTCTTCGGACAGTGCTGGCTCTTTGGCTTTGAAACGGAGATGAGCACCGCAACCCTAGAGTCGGACTTGACTGGCTTTCGAGCAAGGGAACCTTCACCTTTACCTTTTTTACTTACAATGTGGCGGTTCAGTCTCACTGCTGGTGGAAAGCCAATGTGGTATAGTGGACAGAATATTGAACTTTGGCTGGTACTTATTTCTGGGTGTGGTGTTTGTGATAACTCTGTTCTTTTAATCCATACCAATGTTTTAGACTGGCACTCCAGGACTTAGTTTGGGCAACAACAGAGAGAAATGAAGCTGTTGTGCTGCAGTTTCACACGTGTAAAGGACCTGGGATATTAAACTGTGCTGTTCTTTTTGGAAATATCACAGTCACAGCATCTTTGCAGGCCATGTGGATGGGGAGGTTCTGAGTTTTTGAAAGTTTCATGCGCATTGGTGCTATTTTACGTGACACAGCTTCCATTCCCCTGATGTGCCACCGGATTACTTTTTTTTTTTTTTTTTAAAGGCTCTTCCTAGACCATTACAGTACAATGTTTTAAAAGTAACTCTCTAGCCCTTTTCAGGAAGGTTATATTTCCACAAAAAGGGCTAAGGACTTTTTTTTTAAGGAAGTAGGAAATGCAAAAGAGCCTATTTGAGCTGTACTGATCTAAAATTGATGATTTTTTTCTAATAATTGATGATTTTTTAAAAGCCTGGGGAAAAACCTCTCTGCCGCCATGGGGTGCTGAGGCTGCTGCTGCAAATGTACATCTCTCTGTATTCTTCCAAGGGAATGTAGGAGTGTAGTGTAGTTACACAGCCTGACCACATTTCCTTGAAAGTAAAGGTCTATTGATTTTGGGATTTCAACACTGGTATGCTTAGGATGATGGCTTTAACTGTATAACCATCATATCAGCTGGCCAACAGGACAGAAGCTGGGACTCACAGAGCTGGAAGGGGCCTTACAGGCCATAGGATGGTGAAAAAAAAGTGCGGTGAGAAAGGGGCCAAAGGAGGTGAGGGTTGCTGGAGGCGGAAACATTTTATAAAGTGCCTATATGCCAGTGCTAGATGTCTCTGAGTCAGGATGGGGGAGCTAGAGTGCTTGGTACCTCAATGATAAATTTAGCCTCAATGATAAATTTAGTGTAGTAGGGTGTCTCAAAACCTGGTGGGATGGGGGAAATCTGTGGGATACAGTCATCCCTGGGTATAGGTTCTATAGGCAGGATAAGGAGGGACAGGCTGGGGGAGGTGTTGCACTGCACATCAGAAAGGGCATAGAATCAACATCAGGGGAATTAACTCTGCAACAGACGTGATATGGGTGGAAATACTGGGCCACATGGGTTACTTAAAAGTGGGCTGCTTTTGAGATGGAGAAGGGACCACATGCTCTAGCAAAAGAAATGTAAGTCAATAATTAAGTGTGCAGAAATGGAATGCTCCCATCTCTAGTTCCAGCTCCTGCCAACCTAGCAGTTTGAAAGCAAGAAATTGCAAGTAGATAAATAGGTACCACTTTGGTGGGAAGGTAACAGCGTTCCGTGCGCCTTGGTGTTTAGTCATGCCGGCCACATGACCACGGAAACGTCTTCGGACAGCGCTGGCTCTTTGGCTTTGAAATGGAGATGAGCACCGCAACCCTAGAGTCGGACTCGACTGGCTTTCGAGCAAGGGAACCTTTACCTTTACTTTTTTTGCTAAAAGTATCAAGACAAACAGTCAACATTTCTTTAAACATATCTGGAGCAGGAAACCAGCCAGAGAAGCAGTTGGGCCTTTGGTTGGCAAAGGAATAAAGAGATTGCTAAAGGAAGATGGGGAGATGGCAGAGAAACTCAGTGAATGTTTTGCTTCTGTGTTCACTGTGGAAAGTGTGGGGCATGAACTTGTGCCGCAACCACTGCTTTCAGGAAGAGAGTCTGAAGAATTGAGGTGATGAGAGATTAAGTTCTAGACCTGTTGGGGAAATTAAAAACCGATAAGTCCCCAGGTCCTGATGGTATACACCCAAGAGTTCTTGGGAAACTCAAATTTATTTATTTATTAAATTCAACTCAGGGCTCAGGGTGGCTTACATCAAAAACAAACATAATAATACTCCATTAAATAACATTAAAACCTACTAAAAACAATATAGTTCAAATGACACAATTTCATTTGTGAGATAGGTTCTCTATATGGGTTACTGGACCAACTTATCACCAAATTTAGCCACTGTGGTAGAAGACTGGAGAGTAAGAAATACTACACTTGTTAAGTGAGAGAAGGTTTTGTTGTATTTAGCCATAGGCCATTACAAACCACAGACAGTGAAGAACACAATAAAACATAAAAATTGTATAAAATAAGATACAGTCCAAACATTATAAATCCATAAAACTGAGGTTATGAACAGTTAATTAATTCACAACATACCCACTAAAATCAGTATTAGCTAGGAGCAGCGTTGGCCCGTATTTGTGGCGTGGTGGCGGCATGAGCAGTGGAGTGGCGGTGGCGACGGCGGAGAACATGGCGGCTGGCAAGTCAAGCGAGCGAGTGAAGGCGGGGCCGGCAAGCACGGAGGCGGGGTGACGCAGCAGGCTGGAGCCTATCAGACAGAAGCCGACAGCGAGCACGCGCGGACGTGCGCTTGGCCCAGGCCCGAAGGAATCACAATGACTGAAGGAAGACCTGCGTCAGAAATACTACACTGATTTTTAAAAAGGATCCAGAACAGAACCTGAAAATTACAGGACAGTCAGCCTAATGTCTGTCCCAGGCAAAGTAGTAAAAACCATAATCAAATATAGAATTATTGGGCACATAGAGGGACAAAGTCTGCTGAGGGAAAATCAGCATGGCCTCTGTAAAGGGAAGTCCTGCCTCACCAACCTTTTGGAGTTTTCTGAGAAAGTAGGCAAGCATGTAGACAAGAATGTAGATAACGGTGACCTGGTAGATATTATATACTTGAACTTTCAAAAGGCTTTTGACGAGGAACCTCACCAAAGACTTATTAAGAAATTTAGCAGTCATAGGATAAGAGGACAGGTTCTCTTATGAATGAAAAAAAAGTGGTTAAATGACAGGAAGAAAGGAGTAGGAATAAATGGGCAGTTCTCATAATGGAAGTAAGCTAGCAGTGAGGTCTCACAAGGATCAGTATTGGGGCCGGTACTATTGAATTTAGGGAGCTGCGGTGGCTCAAGTGGTTAAGACGCTGAACTGCAGGCTGTGGAAGGTCGGTAGTTCAGCAGTTCGAGACCCGAGTGTGCCGCATGACGGAGTGAGCTCCCATCTCTAGTTCCAGCTCCTGCCAACCTAGCAGTTCGAAAGCAAGAAATTGCAAGTAGATAAATAGGTACCACTTCGGTGGGAAGGTAACAGCATTTTGTGCGCCTTGGTGTTTAGTCGTGCCGGCCACATGACCACGGAGATGTCTTCGGATAGCGCTGGCTCTTCGGCTTTGAAACGGAGATGAGCACCGCAACCCTAGAGTCGGATTCGACTGGCTTTCGAGCATGGGAACCTTTACCTTTACCTTACTATTGAATTTATTCATAAACGATTTGGAACTAGGGGTAAGTAGTGTAGTGGCCAAGTTTGCAGATGACAAAAAAATTATTCAGGATGGTGAAAACCAAGGCTGGCTGTGAAGAGCTCCAGGAGGTTCTCCACAAACTGGGTGAGTGGGCGGCAGTGTGGCAAAAAGTTCAATGTTGGCAAGTGTAAAGTGATACACATGGGGACAAAAAAATCCCAACTGCAAGTATAGGCTAATGGGGTCTGAACTTGCTGGAGGCGGAGAGGGGAAAATATCTTGGGGTTGTAATAGATAGCTCAATGAAAGTGTCAACCCAGTGTGCTGCAGCAGTGAAAAAGGCAAACTTTATGTTAGGAATTATAAGGAAAGGGATTGAACATAAAACGGCTGATATAATGCCCCTATATAGATCTATGGTGTGGCTTCATTTGCAGTTCTGGTCACCATATCTCAAAAAGGGTATTGCAGAGCTGGCAAAAGTACAGAAGAGGGCAACCAAGGGGACTAGGAGGTTGGAGCACCTTCCCCTATGAGGAAAGGCTGAAGAGTCTGGGACATTTCAGTTTAGAAAAGAAACTAAGAGGGACATGGTAGAGGTTTATAAAATGATGCATGGGGTAGAGAGAGTTGAAAAAGAGAAATTTTTCTCCCTCTCCCAAAACACTAGAACTCAAGGGGCATGCAATGAAACTGGTGGGCAGTAGGTTCAGGACGGCCGGAAGGAAATACCACTTTACACAAGAGAGTGATTAAAATGTGAATTCACTGCCAGAGGATGTAGTGATGTTGACAGGCATAAATGGCTTTAAAGGGGGATTAGACAGATTCGTGGAGTGTAAGTGTATTAGTGCCTGCTAGTTTTTAATAACCTGTGTGTTTTATATTCATATTTGTATTTTGCTTACCTATTGGTTCTGCGGTAAGCCGCCCTGAGCCTGCCTTGGCGGGGAGGATGGGGTAAAAATCAAATAAATAAATAAAATAGCCATGGTGACTAAAGGGAAGCTCTACATCCACAGGCAGTCGGCCTCTGGATCTGAGTGGCAGAAGGCAGGGGAAGGCCTCAGCCTCTATGCCCTGTTGCTGGACCTCCAGAGGAACTGGTCGGCCCCTGTGTTAGACAAGATACTGGACTTAGATGGAGCACTACTCTGATCTAGCAGGGCTCTTCTTATGTTCTTATGCCTCTGTGGCCTGGTCTACCCATGCAGCAGAATAAGGTGGTTTATGAGGTTGGAGGATGGTGTGTGCCAGTGTTCCCTCTAAGCTGAGTTAGTGTGAGCTAGCTCACAGTTTTTTAGCCTCCGGCTCACACGTTTTCGTCTTAGCTCAGGAAGAGGGCTCCAGAGCGAACTAATTGATGCAGTAGCCAAATCGCCCGCTCACCACTTTAGTGCCAGTAACTCACAAAGTAGAATTTTTGCTCGCAAGACTCCACGACTCAGAGGTAGCATTGGTGTGTGCCAATTCAGATTACAGGTGAGGGATCACTTTTGTCAAAGTTCCCCTATATGAATTCCCCGTAAGTAGGGGAAACAGGCACAGAATGTAAAGGGCTGCACTAGAACCCTTCTCCCATGTAAAAACTCACCACAACTAAAATGCTAGTTCTCTAGTACAAATGTTTTACTTGCAGTGAGTTTTTACACGGTGGAGCACTAAGAACGTGACCCCTCCTCCATGGGCTGAGTGGACCATTCTGTCACCTCAGGATTCTGCCACTGGCCCCTGCTGTGCATGTAGACCAGGCTTTAGTCTCCTGTCCATCCATATTCTCCTGTTCCACATTGAGGGACTCCTTGAAAAGTGCATTATTTTACTGCCATGTACTTTGTATATAGCATGACTGCAGAAATGTTAACATCAATTTTATGGAAGAGAGAGATACCACAAAAAAACCAACAGTACAGGCATGGGCGGCTTCAAAAGGGAATTAGATAAGCATATGGAGCAGAGGTCCATCAGTGGCTATTAGCCACAAAGTATAGATAGGGGCTCTGGGGCAAGTGATGCTCTGTCATCTTGGTGCTTGGGGGCGGGGGTCAACAGTGGGAGGGCTTCTAATGTCCTGGCCCCACTGGTGGACCTCCTGATGGCACTGGTATTTCTGGCCACTGTGTGACACAGAGTGTTGGACTGGGTGGGCCTTTGGCCTGATCCAACATTGGCGTCTCTTATGTTCTTATGATACACGAGTACAAATAATAGGCATTATTGTTATTGAATTCTCTTACACCAGTGTTATTTGCTTGCCATGCTTCCCTGTGTGGGGTGGTGGTGATGTATGTCTCAACCTGCAATTAGCATATTATGGAATGGACCAGACATGTAACCTTCATCTAGTCCGTTTGAGTCCTGTCTTCTCTGATCCCAAATGTGTGAATAGGTTGCAAAATTATTTTAATTATTTTATGAACGAGTAGGAGGCGTCTGTCTCAGCTTTAATAGTGTGTTGAGCACCTGAGGCTCTTGATATGTTTAGTTGCGTATTTAGTTCATCATGAATGAGACACTCAGGAGTAGAAACCTTGTAAACAAACAATTTCTTCTGTCGTCCATCCATCTGTCTACTTAACTTTTCAAGGGTAGCAGGAAACAGATGGAGGGTTGTGCAACAGGCATAGAGATCTGAGCTGTCAAGAGCATTATGCATACAGTGTGGACAAGCACGGCTGGGAGGGGGAGAAGGATCATGCCTACTAGCTCTGCCAGTGGGGGTTCACCCTAATGCTAGCAGGGAGCCTACATGCATACAAACTGCATAAGGTATTGTCATGATCTGGGCTGTGCCACCGGAGGCCTACTAGGCCCAGGGAGCCTGGTTAGCAGTAAGGGAGGCTGGGCCTACAAACCCCAGAAGGCCTTGGGAAGTTTTGGTGCCGATTTTGACCAATAGGGAAGAAGAGGGCTGGGGAATATAGGAACTGGTACAAGAGGGAAGGCTGTTCTTCTTCCCAGGGAACAGAGCCAGAAGGGACTGAGGCTGCTGTGGGGAAGAAACCCTCATCCTGAGGAAAGGGTGAGTAGTCTAAGGCCACTTGAGATAGTGAGCTAGGGACAGTATATATTTAGACGCGTTAGGGCATTTGATTTATTTTCTTTTCACCCACTTACTGTTATTATTCTGCACCTTGTTTGTTTGACCTCCTATAAAATAAGCTATTTTCATTGTTCACTCTGCCTGGTCCTCACGCCTATTATTTGGCCAAAAGGGAGGTCTAAAAGCCTGGGAGGGTGCTCTGGGCCTTCTCAGAGGAGCCTGGAACCAGAGTGGTGGCAGCGTCAGGTGACACCCCACCTGAGCCATGACAGGTATGATCTGAGTTGTCACGTGTACAGTTAGTATGCATGTAGACTTTAGGCTGACATTAAAGTAGGAGGCAGAAGCAGGCCTAAGAGGTGCAGTCCCATTTCTGATTTACTTCTGAGTATACAGGCTTAGGGCTGCAGTGGCTCAGAGGTTAAGACATTGAGCGGCAGACCAGAAGGTCTGTAGTTCGGCAGTGCGAGATCCGAGTGCTGCGTGACGGAGTGAGCTTCCATCTCTGGCCCCAGCTCCTGCCAGCCTAGCAATTTGAAAGCAAGAAATTGCAAGTAGGTAAATAGGTACCGCTTTGGTGGGAAGGTAACAGCATTCCGTGTGCCTTGGTGTTTAATCATGCCGGCCACATGACCACAGAAAAGTCTTTAGACAGCGCTGGCTCTTCGGCTTGGAAACAGAGATGAGCACCGCCCCCTAGAGTTGGATTCGACTGGCTTTCGAGCAAGGGAAACCTTTACCTTTTATCTTATACAGGCTTAGGACAGGTACTGACATATTTAATTTGATAGGTTTACTTGGAGGCAAGTTGCATGAAAATGTGTGGATTTTGCTTTCAAACCAGGCAGCAGTAGTATAGCACTTACATGGATGTAAATCCCATTGAACTCAATAGGACTTTTGTGAATAAAGATTCACCGGATAGGGCTGCAGGCAATTCGGCATATTAAATGGGGAAATAAGACATACACCTGTCTAAACAAAAATGCTACACAAGTAGTTTGTCAAATTAAAAATCGGTTTCCTTTATCCAGGTTATCTACAAAGTTTATCTCAAGCAGAATCATATTATGAAGAGAAGCGTTGATGGACAACTGAGAATTAAGACTGAATATGATGGAAGTGTTGAGGAGTGAGTATAATGGCAGTCTTCCAGAATTCTTGTTGTGAGTGGAAATGAACCAATGGCAAGGCAGACTTTTCCTCTCGCAGTTCCCTTCTTTCTACCTTCCCATCTTAGCAGGTAGCCTGGGAAGCAGCACAGAGACAGGGACCAGGGTGTTAAGGAGAGGTCCAGAGTAATTTCATTGTTACTGGTATAAAAGAAGGGAGTGATTAAAAAATTGGGATGGTGATAAAAACATTCTCGTCTACAACTGCTTTCTTTTCTCATAGGCTGCTTCCTGAAAAAAGGCACCTTATAAAGGTATGTCGACCTTTCTTCTTGCATGTGTGTTGAGTATTGCTGAGTGGAGTTCTAGATGAACCGCAGCAGTCCAATGATACATGTGATAAGGTCCTTGTTGCAGGTGGGTCTTTCAGCATTTAAGGCACTAGCTTCCCTGCCTCATCAGAATCTTCTTTTGAGACACGATGGTCTGTCGTAAATGTAACATTCTGCAATTTCTAAACCAGGGGTGTCAAACGTATGACCCGCAGGCCAGAACCGGCCTGCCTAGAGCTTTTAATCTGGCCTGTGAGGAAGTGGCCAGAGGGAGAGAAGTGGAGGGAGCCACCCTTTCAGCTGCTGAGGGCAGCGTGTGCTTTGGGGCTCACTTCTCCCTCCTGGAATGAAGTGAATGGGGCCAAAAGCCACTTCCTGTTCCCACACAAATCCCACTCCCTCGTTGTTTGGAGTTGCACAAGGGAGAAGCGCACCAGCCTGAATGGTCAGCGAGAGCAGAAATGAGAGGACAACAGGGACAATGAGCCTGAAAGGTGAGCCTGTGGGTGTCTGTTTTTTTGGAGGGGGGGGGCTTGTTCTGCGGCTGTCCTGAGTACAACCGGCTCCACCTCCCCCTTGCCTCCTCCGTGCCGTCACCTTGCTACAGTGGGGTATGTCTGTGTCTGTTTGGGGGAGCGGGCTTATTCTGCTGCGGCTGTCCTGAGTGCAACTGGCTCTGCCTGCTCCATGCCATCACTTTGCTACAGGGGGGGTTGAAACCTTACTCCTTGGTCCTAGTATTCTCGGTTTTCCTCTTTACTTGTTGCATCATGAGTGCCACCAGACTTTTTTAAAATTTGCAGGGCAGCTGAGCCCAGGGCTCCTGCACTTACCTCTTCCTGCCCAGGCAAAGCCTGTCCTTCTCAGAACTTCTCTCCCACCTTTTGGTGCCCAGCCTGTGCCAGACATTTTTTTTAAATGTGCAGAGCAGCTGAGCCCATTCACTCTCTCCGACACAGCTCCGGCACTTTCCTCTTCCTGCCTGTACAAAGTCCATTCCTCTTGGTGCTTCCCTCCCACCTCCTCCTCCCCAACCTGTGTCAAAAGGGCCAGGCTGAAAGAGAAAAATGCAGGGGCTGTGCTGGGGCCAGTGGATGCTCTGCTCTGCAAATTAAAAAAAAATGTCTGGTGGCACTCATACTGCAACAATTAAAAAGGAAAGCAGAGAAATACTAGAACCAAGAAATAATGGGGTTTTTGTTGTTGTTGGACTCATTCTGCTGTGGCTGTCTTGGGTGTAACTGGATTCACTTCCCCCTCTTCCTCCTTCACATCGCCTTGCTACTTTGTGTGTGTGTGTGTGTGGGTGAGAGAGAGAGAGAGAGAGAGAGAGAGAGAGAGAGAGAGAGAGAGAGAGAGAGAGAGAAACCTTTAAGACCAACAAAGTTTTATTCAAGTTATGAGCTTTCCTGTGCCTTGCTACAGTGTGTGTGTGTTTTGTTGGGCTCTTTATTCTGCAGCTCTCTTGGGTGCAACTGGGTCTACCTCCCCTTCTTTTTCACTGTATTCATTCCCTCATGATCCAGTCTTTCTCAGTAGGAAAGCCTTAGGGCTGTTGCAGAACGACAGGCAGAGAGCCCAGCCATGTTTAAATGCCTTTATTTCCCTCTCCCAGTTCGGGGAGGGAAAGAAAGGCATTTAAACATGCGTGGGCTCTCTGCCTTCCCTTCTGCAGATACCTTGTGTCAGCTAGAGAAGGGAAGGCAAAGCAAGAAGGCTTTCCCTTGTCAGTTTCACTCCCCCTGGCCATGCTGTTAGGTTTCAATGGCTTAAACCTAACAGCTGACTGGTGGGGAGTGAAATTGACAAGGAAAGCTGAACCCCTTCCAGAGGGAAAGAAGGCATTTTTACATGCCTCCCTTTCCTCCTGTCAGGTATATCAGACCCAACTATATATTCAGCAATATTGAATATTTCCCTGTCCTGATACTTTACCGGTATTGGACTGGGGATATTTGGCGTTTACCAATATTTTTCGGGTCTGGTATACCCGAAGCAAAACATTACCAACTTTTTTTTGGCACACCCCAAATGCCTTTACATGTTCTTGACCAACACATAAAACAACATGTACAAAAGCTCAAAATGCCTGTGAGGGTGGGCTGGGGGAAGGGTTTGCTCCGCACTCCAAGCAGCACAGGGGCATCAGCAGCAAAATATTGCAAGAGTGTTAATGTTTTAAGCATGTTTTATTTTAAGAGAGAAAAAATCTTTTGTGTTGTCTGCATCCTTTATAAAGTTTATATCTCTGCTGCCTGGAATTGCATGTCATGACACACATTGACTCGGTCGCAAAAGGACCCATTTATGTCAGATCTGGCCCTCATAACAAATGAGTTCGACACCCCTGCTCTAAGCTATATTTAAAATATATAATAGACTGGGAATATGCTGCAAGCTTGCCGCCCCTTGTCTCCCCTTTTCACATCCCGAGGCCAAATTTCTGTCAGCTATATCCACATTCAGTGTTGGCATCTACACAGCGCTAAACACTTTTAACACTAGCCCAAGTTAGTGTTGAACATTTCAAGTGAGTTTAAGCATCCTTGCTAAGAGAGAAGAGAGAGCCAGTTTGGTGTAGTGGTTAAGTGCGCGGACTCTAATCTGGGAGAACCGGATTTGATTCCCCACTCCTCCACTTGCACCTGGCTGGATGACCTTGGGCGAGCCGTAGCTCTGAAAAGAGCTGTTCTTGAAAAAGAGCAGTTTCTGTCAAGAGTTCTCTCAGCCCCACCTACCTCACAGGGTGTCTGTTGTGGGGAGGGGAAGGGAAAGGAGTTTGTAAGCAGTTAGTGTTGAACATTTCAAGTGAGTTTAAGCATCCTCGCTAAGAGAGAATCTTAATTTGGGTCAACTTTGTGTAGATGTTTGGAGTTCACACATTGCTGTTTATGCTCTGATGATGTAATGTAGCACAAATCTCTTTAAGCAGACACATGTTTAACGCACACAGTCCAAAGCTGTAAAAAGTTCTTGGCAAATGTCCTAAATATGGTGATTTATCTGTTTCAGAATATGACTTAATTTTTCTTGATGTAAACCTTTTTTCTTTTTCCAGCATAAGCTTTTCCCACAAGCTATTTCTTATTTGGAAAAGACATTTCAAGTTCGGAAGCCTACTGGTACTATCTTACTGAGCAGGTATAAATGCTCTTTAGTGGTTCATAATGTGTTTTTTTTTTAAAAAAAAAACCTGTCTCTAATATTGCAGTTCACTGACAGATTAGACTTCCAAACATCCCAGTATAAGCATTCCACTATCCTGAAATATAAACTTACCAATAATAATTGGTGGTGGTTAGCAGTAGGGCTCCCAGAAGACGGGGGAATGGTTCTCATAAGCGTCATAAGGATGGCTGTAGCAGGAATACCGGCCCCTCAGCGCCTCTCTTATCTCTACTGCTGAGATATTCGTTATCATTTTTCTTATCCTTCTGTGTTGTGTAGAATGATTCTGTATTTCCTTGGTAAATAACTCTCATTCTGATTTGCCTGAAGACAGTGTGTAACAAACCAATACATAAGGAAGAAAGATGATCCACACAGATACCTTTTCCCACAAGCTATTTCTTATTTGGAAAAGACATTTCAAGTTCGGAAGCCTACTGGTACTATCTTACTGAGCAGGTATAAATGCTCTTTAGTGGTTCATAATGGTTTTTTAAAAAATCTGTCTCTAATATTGCAGTTCACTGACAGATTAGTCTTCCAAACATCCCAGTATAAGCATTCCACTATCCTGAAATATAAACTTACCAATAATAATTGGTGGTGGTTAGCAGTAGGGCTCCCAGAAGACGGGGGAATGGTTCTCATGAGCGTCATAAGGATGGCTGTAGCAGGAATACCGGCCCTGCGCCTCTCTTATCATCTCTACTGCTGAGATATTCGTTAGCATTTTTCTTATCCTTCTGTGTTGTGTAGAATGATTCTGTATTTCCTTGGTAAATAACTCTCATTCTGATTTGCCTGAAGACAGTGTGTAACAAACCAATACATAAGGAAGAAAGATGATCCACACAGATACTGTCGTGGAGCCTGTGCAGAGTTTACAAGGTGCGGTCCGGTCATAGTTCCTGAAAAGCACCTGCAGGTAAGTCAGTCAACTGTTCATTTATAGTAGTGAAACAGTATTGGCACCCTTAGCTCTGTGTCTTATGAGAGTGAGGAGTCAAAAGGATGGAGAAGGAGAGTGCAGAGCCTTCAAACTTGGCAGCTCAGTGACATTCAAGCGAGCCTTAGCCAGTGTCCAGTCATCATTATTACTTTTCCAGTCCGTAGCATCAGATTGCTTGAACTTCTGGGGTGAGTTGACAAAACCTGCCTTAATAGAAAGTTGAAATGAGCATCAGTGATTGTTCAGTTCACTGTGTCAGCTCTCTGACGCCGAGTTTTTAGGATGACATTAGTGCATGCTGAACGAGGATAGTATGTTTCGACATTTCACTTATTACACTTTCAACTTACATTACGCTTTCAACTTATATACCGCTCCTTCCCGAGGGCTCGGAGCGGTTTACAGAGACATTTAAATCATCCTAACTAGGGCCACAGTGCAAGGGGAGGGGTGAATGCCTACCAGGCACCCGAACAGCAAGGTTCTTTCCGTGGTGGGTTCTCTTTTTCCGTTTCAAGGTGACGGTGTCTTCAGATGTTGCAGTCTCTTCAGATGTTGTCTGTGTGTATGAGATACACAATGCTGATGTATTTCTGAGGTATCTAATTTTCAAAGTCTTTCACTAGATAAATGGATGTTTTCAAAGCTTGAAGACCCTTTAATATATGAGCTGTGAGGAGAGCCTTTCTAAAGAAAGGGAGGTGAATATTGGGCATGCACCATGTTATTGCCTGTTTAAATACCTCTCTCCTAAGCCATACACTTTGGACTGTTTTAGGAGCAGTTGATGGATTCTGAAAGGTGTATCTTTTGAAATCAAGAAAATCATGCGCATGTCAACTTTTAAATTTTGGCTGTCGGTGGTGTTAATATAGGATCTCGGTCCTAAACGCTGAACCATCTAAAAAAGGATGTTATTTTTTTTTAAAAAGAATATATTTCCACATTAAAAGTCAAGCGACTACCGTAATAGTTTCTGTTTCAGACTTGCTAGGACTGACGCATCTCTTCTAAATCTTATGTTTTAGCAATGTAGGGTATGTCGTGAAAATGAATGGCTTTGTGGACCTACTGGTTTACCAGACCAAGAAGGGGTTCAAGATGCTGACTTCATACTATATGTCAGTGCTCTGACCACCGAAAGATGTGGCCAAGAAAATATTATCGCATATGCAGCATACTGCCAACTGGAAGCAAATATGGACAGGTAATGTTTTCCTCCAAATGAAAGTGAATTAGAAATGTAGAGTTGGAAGGGACCTCAAGGGTCATCTAGTCCAACCCATTACACAATACAGGAAATTGACAACTACCTCCTCCCTCAGTGACCCCTGGTGGTCTATGCCCAGAAGAGGGCAAAAAACCTCCAAGATCCCTGGGCCAATCTGGCCTGGAGGAAAATTCCTTCTTGACCCCAAAGTGGCAATCGGCATTACCCTGGATATGTAAGAAAGGGCCACGCGAGCCGGGTGCTGGCTCATCCTTTCCTTCCCTTCTTCTCACGGTCACAGAATTCACAGAATTTGCATTGCTATCAGATGGCCATGTAGCCTCTGCTTAAAAACCTCCATAGAAGGAGAGCCCACCACCTCCTAAGGAAGCCTGTTCCACTGATGAACTGCCCTAACTGTCAGGAAGTTCTTCCTAATGTTTAGCAGGAACATCATTCATCCAGTGCAAGTTATAGCTAAAGCCTCACAGATGTCATCTCTTTCAAGCTTTGGTCCTTAGGTGGTAATGCCGTTCTTACCCACTGATGAGGGTGGTACAGCCAAACCCTCTCACACATATTCACCTTTAATGCTTGGTATTCCATAGGCGCAGATGCTTGGGCTTTAGCTATAGTTTTAAAGGGTTACAGGTTAGATCAGAGGTGTTAAATTCATTTGTTACGCGGGCCAGATCTGACTTAGTCAGGCCGGGCCATGCATGCCATAAAGTGTAACATGAGTTACTGGAGATATAAACTTTATAAAGATGGTTTCAGATGCTAAATGGCAATAGCAGGCTTGATTAGATTGGGTGTGATATGCAGAGGAGGAGTAGGCGTGGAGATATCAGCATTGGTAATGAGACAGGAAACCTAGGTCTAAGTTTGGTACTGGTAGATTTTTTTGTTAGTCTTTTGTTAGTCTAACAAATTTTGTTAGTCTTTAAGATACTACTGGACTTTTACTCTTTCTGCTGCTATTAGAAACCACAACATTAAAAAACCAGTGGGGGGACATTTCAGCCTTCCAGGACATTCAGTTGCTGACCTAAGAGTACCAGTTCTCTTACTAAGGAATTTCAAAGGGAGACTAGAAAGAGAGACTGCTGATTTGCAACTCAAGACAATGCATCCTCCTGGACTGAACTGAGACCTAGGTTTCTTCTCTCATTACCAATGCTGTGATTTGGTGTCTGAAATCACTTCACTCTCCCAAGATATAAGGACAGGTGGTCTCACTTTCTAGCTGTATCTGAAGAAATGAACAGTGACTCATGAAAGTTCATTCACTGCCACCAATTTTCTTAGGCGATAAGGTGCTCTTGCTCCCTTCCACTAATAAGGAATGCAAGCTGTGCTGTTAGGATTCTTCTCCCCTATCTGTTAGAACTGGAAAGAGGGATCTCTCCAAGTCCCATGGGACTGACTGTCTCTCATGCGCTCTCTCTCAAAGAAGAAGTGTGCAGGCACACAAAAACTTATACCTGGAATAAAATGTTGCTGGTTTTCTTGAAACTGCCACAGGACTCCCTGGCTCTTTTCTTCCCCCTCCCTCCCCAGAGGAGGGGGACAAACCCTCAGCCAATCAAGGGAAGGGAGGCTTGGCTTTCTTTCTCTGCTCTGCGAAACAGTAAATAGGAGAGACTGGGCAAAAGGAGCTGCAATGCAGGGAAAAGGAAGCAGGAACAGGAAGCAGCAGAGAGCTAGTTGCTCATGGGCCGGATACGAGCCTTGCAGGGGCCGGATCCAGCTCACAGACTGTATGTTGTGTCCCAGGTGGTCTAGTTACAGGGTTTCCATTCGAGGTTCTTCCTTGTTGACGAGAAGGATGGACCGTGTAGATGCATCCTTTATCTGAGAGAATTAAATAAGCTCTTGGAAGTTTCAAAGTTTAGAATGGTCTCTCTGTCTTCAGTTATTGAGTTCCTTTCTCCTAATTCATAGTTTGCGGTCCTAGACCTGAAGGATGCTTACTTTCACCTGGCCACTCATCCTGCACACAGGAAATATCTATAATTCAGGCAGGGTCCTGGGGCGTTCCAATGCACTGCTTTCCCGTTTGGCCTTGCTGCCGTGCTAGGGGTTTTTTACCAAATGTGTGGCTGTGCTAATAGCCTACCTGTGCACAATGGGTTGTACTGTCTTCCCATAGTTGGATGATTGGCTTATTGTAGCTCTCAGTAGGGACCTCCTGAGGGATCATGTTAGATTAGTTCTTTCCACCTGCACCCAGCTGGGTGAATTGGGAGAAATCCCATTTGGAGCCCTCCCAGCAGGTACAATTTATCGGTGCTTCCCCGAATGCTGTTAGAGAAAGAGCTTTCTTACCTGTGGATAGGGCCAGGAACCTGGAGTCCATGATCCAAGGTTTCCGGAGAAAGAGGTGGCGGTCAGTGAGATCTAATCAGAGGCTACTGGGCCTGATGGCATTGGCCACTGCTGTTATCCCTTTGGCCAGACTTCGCATGCATGGGTTGCAAGTTGGGTTCATTAAGAAATATGACCTTACTAGGCATGCCCCTGGGCTCTGCTTCTCAATCCCTAGTGTGGTTCTAAAAATCTCTCCTTTCGTGGTTAGAGGAGATCAATCTTTTTACAGGGGTTCGGTTTGGTTTCTGGGTTCCCCAGGTCACCCTTACAACAGATGCCTCCTTGTCAGGTTGGGGTGCCCACTGTGAAGGTTTTTCAGTGCAGGGGCGGTGGTCCCCTGTCAGCAGAGGCCTCCATATCACCGTTTTAGCGCTCTGTGCAGTTAGATTTCCCCTTACCTCCTTCACAGATACCCTTGGGGCAGAAGGGTTCTGATTCAAACAGGCAACACCTCCACAATGTATTATTTCAACAAGCAGGGTGGTACAGGGTCATGGAGACTCTGCTTGGAAGTGATAGCAGTACGAACACCGGGGCATCTCTTGGGGGATTCACATAGTGGGAGGCCTAAATGCGGAGGTAGATGTCCTGAGCAGGGCATATTAGACCAACTATGAGTGGTCCATCGAGTTCATATATCTCAACAAGGAGTCCAACACCTGTGCATCCGTTTGCCACTGCAGAATCAAAGTAGGCTCTTTAGCGGGCAGTGATCCATCCTCGCTGGGAGATGCTTTTCAGACCTCCCAGCTGAAGCTCTGATTTACGCATCACCCCCCTTCTGAGCAGAGTTTGGGGAAACTAATCACAGAAGGATATCACTGTATTCTTACAGCTCCCTTTTGGCCTCAGCAGATCTAGTTTTCAGAGCTGTTCTGCATAACGGACTCGGAGCTCGCTTGTTTTGTAGTTTGGGCATCGTCTAGGGGATTATTCCCCTTTGTCTGCCCACTGCCTTCCGTTCTGGAGTATTTGCTTTCCTTGCCTCAAGAAAAGTTAGCCTCTTCCTCGGTTAATGACCTTGTGGCCATCTCGGCGTTTCATGAGGGGGTAAACAGCGGCTCCCTTTTCTCTAACAGGTTGGCCCAGCATTTTCTTAAAAGTCTGTCAAATACTTTCCCTCCCATCCTGCACACTGTCACTCGGTAGTCTTTGCCACTGGTTCTGGCCAGGCTGATGAAACCACCCTTTGAACCCCTGGCCACGGGTCCCTTAGCATTGCTCTCGACTCGCAGGGCTCTTTTTGTAGAAAAAGCCCAGCAGGAACTCATAGCATAATAGGCCACACCCAACAGCAGGTGCTCATTAGCATATTGGGCCACACCCCTGACAGCACAGCTCATTAGCACATTAGGCCACACCCATATTTTACCAGAAGTGTGGTTATTCAGCCACACCCATCTTTTGCTTGTAGGCCACACACCCCTAATGTAGCCAATCCTAATGAGTTTCTGCTGTTGGGTGGGGCCTGTTATGCTAATGAGTTCCAGCTGAGTGTGGCCAACTTGGGAGCCAGCCAGAACTCTGTTCCTGTGCATTCCTAAAACATTCCTGCCCAAAAATAGCATTGCTCTCGAGAAAGGTGGCCGTCATCTCTGCCAGGAGGGTGAGTGAGCTGGCGGCCCTCAGGTTAGATCCTTCCTTTTGAAGTTTTCCAGTGAGAGGGTGGCACTTCATCCTAGCTTGGACTTCCTCCCTGAGGTCGTTTCCAGATTCCACCTGGCATCGGAGATTGTCCTACTGGTTTTCTTCCCATCTCCTGGGTCTGAGGAAGCCCTACATGCACTAGATGTTAGGCGGGCTCTTCTATACTATGTTGACGGGACCAAGTTATTCCGCAGGGATAGGGAAAGGGCAGTTCTTGTGTGCCGCTGGAGAAGGCTGCCTTGTCCCAGTGGGTAGTTGCTGTGAGGGGGTGGGGCGACCTCTCAAAGTGACTGCACACTCTGCTCCTTGGCTGCATTCCACAGAAGTAGAAATCTGCAAGGCTGCAACCCGATCTGCGGAGGATGCATTTGTGAAGTATTATGCCCTGGGCCTGCAAGCAAAAGGGATGCAGAGGTGGGGAAAGCAGTCCTTCAAGCTCAGTGTTTTAGTGAGCTTCACCCCCCCCCCCCCAGTAAGTAGCTTGCTAACGGTCCCAATGTGGGGCTGCACCGAAGATGGAAGATGGAAACAGGGGTGCACTTACCCTGTAGCTGTTGTTCATCAATATCTTCCGTGCAGGCACACATTCCCTCCCTCCTGCCCCACCTTGAGCTCTCACATGATTCTTTCTGGCATGTGGGAGGTCGCGGCAGCCTTTGCAGGAACTGGGGGAAGGGGGCGCCTGCTGCCAGAGCACATGATGCCTTGGGCAGGAAAACCCACACACGTTGGCCCTCGGAAGGGGAAGGGGGCACTCCCTCTAGGACAGTGGTGGCGAACCTATGGCACGGGTGCCAGAGGCGGCACTCAGAGCCCTCTCTGTAGGCACGCGTGCCATCGCCCCAGCCAGGCCTAGATTGTCATTAAAGTGTGAAATTCTCTGCCAAATAATTTTAAGTCAATGAAAGCATTTGGGATTGCTTTCCTTACTTTGTTTGGGTCATCTTAAGTTACTGTATGAGTTGTTTTTTCTAAAGTAAAACAGTATTCAGGTTAAATTGCCGTGTTGGCACTTTGCGAACAACAAGTGGGTTTTGGGTCGCAGTTTGGGCACTCGGTCTCTAAAAGGTTCGCCATCACTGCTCTAAGAGCTTTTACTAGAAAAATGTTACACAACCGGCCTGCACTGGCACAGCCCCAATGTGTGTCTGAATAGAAGACCTCAAGGAACAACAGTTACAGGCAATGTTCCCTCTAAGCTATGGAGCCCTGTGAGCAAAAATTCTACTTTGTGAGCTATTGGCATTAAAGTTGTGAGCAGGAGAGTTGGCTGCTGCATAAATTAGTTTGCTCTGGAGCCCTCCTTCCTGAGCTAAGACAAAAATGTGTGAGCCAGAGGCTAAAAAACTGTGAACTAGCTCACACTAACTCAGCTTAGAGGGAACCCTGGTTACAGGTAAGTACAACCCTGTTTTTTGTGTAAATGTCTTTACTTAAGCACAAATCTAAACACTGTGAGAACTGAGTGTACCAACATGATGCGGGTTTTTTGTCATTTCCTAGACCAATTGCAGGGTATGCCAATCTCTGTCCAAATATGATTTCAACCCAGCCACAGGAGTTTGTTGGGATGCTGTCTACAGTAAAACATGAAATTATTCATGCATTGGTAAGAACTGATACTTGAAGCATCATTTTAAACTATTAGTGATATTTGAAACGTGTGTAAGTGTCCATGTTACATGTAGAGGCCAGGTCACCTATGTATACTTTGCTTTTAAAGTAGTCTCCCATATTTCTGCATTTTGTTGCTTCTGTGTAAACGCACACACTTTGATATTAGGCATCGTAATACGTGTGTATTTTGGCTTGTCTTAAAGGGTTTTTCTGCTGGTCTGTTTGCTTTTTATCATGATAATGATGGAAATCCTTTGACTGCCAGATATGCAGAGGGAGTACCAGCCTTCAATGAAAGGTATGTATTGAAATCCGTGTAAGCTTTCTTGATGTGGGGATATTTGCAAATATTTCTTCTAACACAATTTTAATACCGCATGGCTCAGGTTACTTGTTTTCTTTGCTGATGCTTCTTCAGTGTGCTTAGTGCGCTAGGGTATTATGAACAACACAGTCTTTATAAAAGTCATATCTTTAAAAAAAATCATAATCCTTGCAGGTTGGATATCCCAGCTGTCAGATTTTTTATTTGAACCTGCTTGACGGCTAAATCTCTCTTCTTTATAGCCTTGGCTTGTATCAGTGGAGCAATAAAGTTGTGCGTAATGCCGTAAGATTATGGGATGTACGGGGCAATAAGATTCTACGTCATAATATATTTCTTCTGATAACTCCTAAAGTAGTTGTAAGTATAACTTGGCTTTTTCACACAAATTTAGCTATATTCCTCAGATAACATGTGTTCAAACATCTGTTCATACCGCACTAGGGAAAGCTGTCATAACATTTTGAGAAATGGGTGTTACTTAGTATCTGTTTCAGATAAACTGCTGGTGGTTGAGATAATCCAAATAATGTGGAATAGCTACATTAGGGTAATCTAGTTAATTTAATAATAATAATTAAGGACAGCATAAAGATAGTTTAATCATTCCTAAGGAGCAGGGCTATTTTTGGGCAGGAACGCACAGGAACGGAGTTCCGGCTGGCTCCCAAGTTGGCCACGCCCAGCAGGAACTCATTAGCATAATAGGCCACACCCAACAGCAGGAACTCATTAGGATTGGCTACATTAGGGGTGTGTGGCCTAACATGCAAAGGAGTTCCTGGGGTGCGTCCTAATGTGCTAATAATCTGTGCTGGCAGGGGTGTGGCCTAATATGCTAATGAGTCTCTGGTGTTGGGTGTGGCCTATTATGCTAATGAGTTCCTGCTGGGCTTTTTCTACAAAAAGAGCCCTGCTAAGGAGTCAATTAACTGCATAATGCTTCAGGGTAGAATTCTGTATGGTGAATATATATATGAGACCTGTGGTGGATTAATTTTGGTAACATCCTGAGTGCAGTGGACGTAATATTGACTTCTCTTGCATGCTGGGAGATTTTGCTGGATGAAGGCAGTCCTGGTTTTAATGTAAACTTGATCTGTGTGAGGAAGACTCTTTACTCTGGTTTTTCAAATGTTCTTTATTTTGAGATTTTTCCTCTGACATTTCTTTCCGAAGGAAGAAGCCCGAAAACATTTTGACTGCCCCATTCTAGAGGGAATGGAACTTGAAAATCAAGGCGGCATGGGCACTGAGCTCAATCATTGGGAGAAACGATTGCTGGAGGTTAGTAGAGATCATTCTGATGGGGGCGCTGTTAGGTCACCATAATTCTGATGCTTTAGGAGGGGTAATGGTTCAGTGGTAGAGCATCGACTTTGTATGCAGAGGATCACAGGTCCAGTTCCCAGCATCTCCATTTAAGACAGCAATACCGACTTTGCTGGACCAGTGGTCTAATTCAGTGTAAAGTGGCATTGTGCTCAGGCAGCAGGTACATAAATTAGATTAAACCCATTCTTTGTCAAAAGATGCCCTGCCACATTAACTTTTACCTGTGAGGACTATCAGACTCGGGCGTCTAAACTATCCCAGTGTGTGTATGGAGAAGCTTTATCCTTCAGCATACCATAAGGTCGCTCCCTGTGTTCATATGTTTCTAGTTTATGCTGGGGAGGGGGGGGGATGAACATACAGCAGCAACAAATATTTTGCTTTTCTGTCTTAACTTGACAGCATTTCCGTAATGTTAGGCTAGGCTAGAAATAAAATATCCAAGGATGTGTTACTGAAGAAGTTTCTTTTTCCCCACTGTGTTCAGTCTCTATCTGATGTTCTTATCTAAAGCTTGACGGTATTAAAAAAAACCTGTGATAGTCTAGGTCAGTGATGGTGAACCTTTTAGGGACCGAGTGCCCAAACTGCGACCCAAAACCCACTTATTTATTGCAAAGTGCCAACACGGCAATTTAACCTGAATCCTGAGGTTTTACTTTAGAAAAAACAACTCATACATTAACTTAAAATGATCCAAACAAAGTAAGGAAAGCAATCCCAAATGCTTTCATTTACTTAAAATTATTTGGCAGATAATTCGATACTTTAATTAAGGTCTGGGCCTGGCTGGGGCGATGGCACGCGTGCCCACAGAGCGGGCTCTGAGTTCACCACCACTGGTCTAGGTGATACAGAATTATGTAAAGTTCCACAGTCCCTTCCTGAACAGTGCATAATTTTAGTGGGAACAGGTCTTTTTAAGCGCAAACGTTATCCATGTGAAATGAATAGCTTTGCACAGAGGCAGTCTTTAGAATACTTTGAGTTCAGAAAAGCGATTGGCCTTATTGACCTGTTAATTGGTGGCGCTAACTTACAGAATGAAGCCATGACTGGATCCCACACTCAGAACAGGGTGTTCTCCCGAATCACTTTGGCCTTAATGGAAGACACTGGGTAAGAACCAGTAGCTGGATAAGAAAGCCTTAATGTTGCCTTTTAAAATACGGTTCAGTATAGTGCAGTTGACGTCGTTTAAACTGTAAGCTTTGAAAACCAGGGCTATTTTTGAGCAGGAACGCACAGGAACGGAGTTCTGGCTGGCTTCAGAGTTGGCCACGGCCACTACAGCCAAAACCTCTACGCGTAAGGCTACAGAGGGAAGGCCTGGTGAGTGACCCACCGGCGACTCCGAGGCGGGGGGGCCAGGGGGGCCAGGGGGCCAGCTTGCCCGGGCTCCCCGCAGCCGCGGAGCGCCCGGACAAGCCAAGGGAAGGCACGGGGTGTGGCCTAATATGCTAATGAGCTGTGCTGTCATGGGTGTGGCCTAATATGCTAATGAGTTTCTGCTGTTGGGTGTGGCCTATTATGCTAATGAGTTCCTGCTGGGCTTTTTCTACAAAAAAAGCCCTGTTGAAAACAGTGTGATTTCTTTAGGCCCTGACCTGGATAGCCCAGGCAAGCCTGATCTTGTCAGATCTCGGAAGCTAAGCAGGGCCAACCCCGGCAAGCACTTGGATGGGAGACCTCCAAGGAATACCAGGGCTGGGAGGCAGAGGCAGGGAATAGCAAGCCATCTCCCTGAAACACTCAAGCCCCACTCGGGGTTGCCAGAAGTCAACCATGACTTCCGGACACACACAAACACAAAATATACTGACCCCCCCCCCAAAAAATGTAATTTTTATAGCACATTATTTTGTTAGCCTTTACATACACATTGTTTTGTAGGTGCTTTGTATCTCAAGATTGTTTTTTGTTGTTCTTGGATTTGTAGAGCATTTTATAATTTTGTTGATCAGTTTCTTTTCCCTCAAGTCAGCCATGACACTGAGAAGTCTATAAAATGGAATTCCTAGCCAAATGCTTAGATTGGGTTGTTAGCAGTCAGACCCCTCCTCTCACAGAGGGGCAATTGATAGCTTAGAGAGGCAGAAACACCTTTCTTAATATATCACCCCAGAAATCATACATACAGGACACTGTCTGGCTCAAAATGAAACAAAATGGATGCCAGTCAGAAACAAGCCTGGGCAAGAAGGGGTCATTTCCTGCAGGAGCGTGCAGGAGCGGAGCTCCGGCAGTAAAGAACCCAGGGGGTGGGCACATGCAACAGGCCCCACCCCCTGCTCCCAGCAGCCCTCAGTCAGAGCAAGAAGTAGCCAGGTAAGTTGCAGAGCCCCCCCCCGCCCCCCCCCGGTCCAAAACAGTCCAGTGGCACTTTTAAGACCAGGTTTTATTCAGGTACAAGTTCTCCCTCCTCTGTGAGGACAGATCTGCACGTCCCCCACCCTCTCGGTGGACAGAGCCGGCCTGCCCCCCCCCCCCCGATAGCTAGCAATCCAAAACAGTCCAGTGGAGCCTGAGCGGTGGGTGTTCCCTTCTGACACATGTCCAGTGATGTCAGGGGGTGTGGCATATGCAAATAAGTTATGCTAATGAGCTCCTGTGCCTCTTTTTCTACGAAATGACCCCTGTGGGCAAGTATTTTGGAAGTGTAAATGAGAGCGGCTGACTGTCTACTGTCCCCTCCACAACCCAGAGAGATCCATAACGGTGGGACAGTGGGCTCTCCCAAAACCTACTGACTCACCCTTAGACTAATCCCATCAAGTCCAACCTTAATTCTTCTGCACCCACTTACCCTAATTAAGCACCACTTAATCAACTTTTAATTCTATTCACCAAACCCATTAGCTTTCCCATCTGGTACTTGTAGGGTTATCAGGCCTCTTCCAAATCGTTGTCCACCTCAGGAAAGCCCATCAAGTTATTGTTTTTCGGGCAAATATGTCAGCTTGCCCCAGGGTGCCTCTATATCAAGAGCACCCAGACACTGGTGCAGTGTGTGTGTGATTTGGATCCTCTTGCACAGCCCCACCTTATTGGGTTTCTTCTTCTCTCCACAAAACGCTGGTTGTTCCGCTGCTCATCTAGTTGCTTTCACAGACCTCTTTCTTTGAAAGCGGTAATTATCGCCCTCCCTGAAATCGCTTCTCCCACTTCTCCCTGTGTTTCTTCTGGTTAGCTCTTGTACGTGTGTTAATTGTGTGCATTTGTTGTATTCTTTTTTTTAATAAAAAAACTTTTCTGGTTGAACGTCTGCCTGGTTTATTTCGAGAGTTCTCTTAAGGGAAAAATCGCTGTAAACGTAGGTGGAGAATCCCAGTTTCCCCCCTTGGTCTGTCTCCTTAGAGCGAATTCCCCCAACTATTTAGAAGACTGCCTCTTTGGGTAACAGATTAATGGCGGATCACACAGGCAACACCCTGCACCTCTGAGTGTTGTGACTAGGGAGAGGTCCCCAGAGAAACTTTTGCCAGAGTAGTGTGAGTGTATGTGTGGTTCTGTATGTGTGACACTATAGCAGCAACTATCAGAGTTGGAATATTTTCCCCTTTTCAGCTCTTGGGCCCGTGTCATTCAGCTGCACATGCCAGCCCATGAGTCTGTGTAAACAGCCATGATGTTCTTTAGAATGCAGGGGATGACATGTGGTTCTTCCTTCAACTTTCCCCATCTTGGGTTAATTCGGGTTGACTTGGAGTGTAGAAATAGCATGGGAATCTCTCAAAGACTTAGGGTAGGAATCCCTCAGAATTGGCCACGTCTTGCCGTTTCATGCTCAGTAATAGGGCGTTTCCAGCACTGTAGATTTAGTTCTCCAAAGTTTGTGCCCCTTGGGAGAACAGTTCTTTGCATTCCCTGTGGTGACAGGCTTATTTATTTGGGTTTAGCAGTTTTCCTGATCTGTGGAGCAATTTGTGGGAAAATTTGGCATTTTAATTTGGACCGGGTTAGCTCACTTTGGCTCCTGGCCGTCTTCTCCCTGCCGCTTGACAAACCCCACCAGAGTGACAACTTTAAGAACATAAGAGATGCCAATGTTGGATCAGGCCAAAGGCCCATCCAGTCCAACACTCTGTGTCACACAGTGGCCAGAAATACCAGTGCCATCAGGAGGTCCACCAGTGGGGCCAGGACATTAGAAGCCATCCCACTGTTGACCCCCCAAAGCACCAAGATGACAGAGCATCACTTGCCCCAGAGTCCCTATCTATACCTTGTGGCTAATAGCCACTGATGGACCTCTGCTCACTTGCCCCAGCGTCACTTGCCCCAGATGACAGAGCTTCCCTTGCC